GTTACGCAGACTCGCCGGTCAGTGCACATGAGACTCCCTACCAAGCAGTATACTCCACTCACGCTGGCTATAGTCAAGTGACCTTTGAAAGTTAACGTAAACCCACAACGTGTTAAACTTAAAATGTAAACGAAAACTGTCATGTCCACGGTGTCCGAGCACAAATAAAAACGATCACATTTCTGCTCGTTTACCGCCTTGAAAACAAAACAGAGAGGGGTCCGGTGTTTGAGACGATAACCCAAACTCAGCAACAAAAACAAATTAAGAGAAAAAATAAAAAAAAAACATCGACTGACTTCTCGCTGGAGAGTGCACTCTTAAATGCCTTGAAAACACCAGGGTCCATTTCGCCTCGTTAAGTAAATCGCCAAGCCGTTTCATATTTCCATCCTGTTAATCCTCTGCCAGATGAGGACCCCCCTTCAAGTCCATGCCCGATGGTGGGTGTTATATTACCATACTTCACCACGCTGGTCTGTTGCACTTTCAAGGCGGGGAGAATAGAATGGGGAGGAGGGGGGGGCATTGATGTACTGCATTCTGGATAACCGACCATCTAACCCCCGACAGCAGCCGGTGACAACAATGCATTGTGGTCACTCATCCAGGCACGACGATCCAGGCTCAAAAAATCCTGCTGAACTTCTGGGAGCTACTAGGAAACGGGCGCAATCCGGGGTGATTTGTCCATAAGGATTTTTTTTTACCTTACCAATGCCGCCGTTAAATTGAAAGATTTTTTTTGTCAGACATTTGCTTTTACTGGCGCAACAGAGTCCATTTCCTCAACTCGGGAGAGCGGTGTGTGAGAGAGGGGGGAGGGGGGGGTGAGAGAGTCTGCGACCCACGCGTTCGGGTCTCTGTTAACAGATATATTTAGGCTCCCCGCCTGAACAGGATTATTAAACACGAAAATCTTCTTTTCATCAGCACGACGAGCCGACGGGCCCCACAGGGCATGCCACCCTCCGGTTGCTGCCTGGCAGTGCTCCCTCGGAACGAAAACGCCGTGGGGCAATCCAAGCCGCTAATCTCAGCACGCGACGAAAGCCAACGGGCGCCGGTGGTTGTCATTTTCAATCCGATTATAAAGTGGAGCCTCACTCGGCCACAAGCTTTACCTGCTCAATCAGGCCTTCGAGAACTCGGCGTGCCGAGCCCTCGCAAAGAGTTCACATCTCGTCACACGCGCTCGCCCAGTCTTATCCCTTCGAATAGAAGCCATGCCCCGCGCATTACGCGCGCGCACCCACGTGATGGCCGGTGGCAGAACAGCGCAGCGGTGACACAAGTGGGTCTCTCACAGGCAAGAAGCCACTGGGTTCGATTCCCGACCTGGGCGCGCCTTTTCTGTATGAAGTTTGTATGCCATCCCCCCTGTTCTGAGTGGGCTTTCTCCGGGTTCTGCAACGTAATACAAGCTAAAAAAACTAATATACGTCTAATGTATTTGGTATTGTCGAAAGATCCCAATGATACAAATTCGATGCAAGAAACTCAACTGGTATTAGATGGACTCAGTGAATATTTTCCTGGGTAAACATGCACAATAATAACCCAAACTACCCTAAACTATTAAAACTATTTTTGATTTACCAGAATCAGCGACCTGGCCACTAATGACAGCTCAACGCAGCGACTCTAGACGTGGAAATGTATATCTGCCAAATACTCCAAACGCACGTTTCTAAATGTGGAGGAAAAAACCTGGAGGACCCAAAGAAAACAATCTATGCGACTACAGGGAGAGAGAAAGAGAGAACACGCAAACTCCAAATATACAGCAGGCGTCAGGGTCGGGATCGAACCCATGACACTCCTACATACCAGGCGAGTGATTTAACATCTCCTCGTCACCGTGGCATGCCGTAAAGCTGATTAAACTTGCCAAACTTGCAGCCATTAAACCAGCACCAATCAGAAAGACACATTAACGAAAGCGAAATCATTCGTCAAGTGTACGCATGTTCCTGCTGCTGCGGTTGTTTCTTGCAGTTGTGCTGCGGTTAGGGAATGTAGAGAACCTCGCATTGTTCGACGCGATATGTCCGACGTTACGCTCCAACACGCTTCAAGTTTTGGAATTGGAAATTCAGGAAGCGAGTTGAAGCACAACGCCAGGCAATGTGCAGAGCAGCACGCGGTTACAACAAGAACACACGAGCGGAGAGTCCCGTGAATGAATATGTTACCACTTCAGAGTTGGCGATGTATGCATAGATGTTGAACTTCTTCGCGCCGTCGTAGCCAACCGTGCGAAGCGGGAGATGCCATCACCGGAAGACAAGTTCATCATCTCATAAAAATGTGTTTGTTTAATGGGAATGATTTTAATTACGGAGCACGCTTGCTTAACAACTCCGGGGACTGCAATCAAAGCAGTGCGCAATCGCTCCTTAAATCGCACTCGGGGACGCACACACACACGCACACGCGTGTATGCACGCGCACGCGCGCACACACACACACACGTGTATGCATGCGCACGCGCACGACAGTGCGCCCACCACACTGTGTGACGCAGTCAACTTATCCTCGGTGATTTGGGGGGGGGGGCAGATAAAACTAAAACACGAGTGTGATACAAAATGTGTACAGATTAAGCTATTAGAATAAAACCCCATTCAATGTTAACCTTCGTAGAGTGTGGGGTGGTGAAGCTGCAGAATGTGTCGGCTGGTTTTTTTACCGCTTATTGGACCCGATCACTGACTCACGAGTGAGATTTCAGTAAAAAAACAATGTTTTTAAACCAGGTGAGAACTACTCGAGACGCTAAGAATAGCGTCATTTGTGAGAGTGATCTTGGGGGAGGGAGGTGTATTAAGTCGAGCCGGTGTGTGTGGGAGGGGGGGGGGATGACTGCTGCCGGCCGCCTAATCCCCACCGGGTAGATTGGCAGGTACATTCAAATTCATATGCTTGGTTCTTTTGGTAAAGTCACGTAGAAGGGAAATGATAAAATAATAAAATAATAAAAATAAAACAATAAAATTCTAACGACGTTTCGATTGCAACGCAAGCAATCATCATCAGGTGTGATGATTGCTATTTTATTATTTCCCTTCTACGTGACTTTACCGAAAGAACCAAGAATATGAATCCCTGCAATCACGAAAGCTTTAAATCGAAAAATACTTGAAAATTATTTAAGACCGCAACGGGAGGAAGATTTCTCCACATAATCTGAACGTTTTGCCTGATGAGGCCGGTTGCTGAAATTACCGGCGAAACGGCATGGTACTCGAATTGTAAATGTCGTGGTGGTGGGTTCACTCTCCAACACAGACACACAGCGGTGTGCTGAACTAGTAACGATTTGGCACGTTTCGTCTACGTGACAAACCTCACTAATCGGCTGAGTCTGGTGGTGGCGGGTTTAACGATATATTTACGCGATCTAAACAATTTGTCGAATTTGGACCCCCGACGCAGGCACACGATGACCTCCTCTTGCGAATAACGTGAGATGATCTTTAGCGTCCAATGTGAGCTTAGCAAACTGCGAGGCGTATCATTAAGATTACAGCATTAATCAAGGCGGCCGCCAGATTTGAACCGTGAACCTCCGAAGCAAGCGGCGAGCGCTCTGTCGATCGCTGGGCCGCGTCACCGCACCACAGAGACGGCTAATAATAGAACGAGCGCCTGCCTTGACTGGCGCACAACACCAGATATTTAATTTTTTTTCTTCGCAAAGCGCAGTTAATCCGCAATCTGGATTATCCACCCGCAGGATAATCGAGAGTTTGCAGCAGTTCTCGTGAAAACACAAACTTATTTTTAAGGATAAATTAGCTAAACGGATAGCGCTGCATTCCGCATGCAGGCCTATTCAAAGCCTAATAAATGTACCATGTATATATAGAAATAAAAATAAATTAGTACATGAACACAGAGCAGATATCTCACTTGTCGGTACCCCCCGAGGTGGAATAACTTTAGCAGTTCCAATTTCTTTATGTTGCCAATATCGATTAATCATGTGATGACCATTTGACATGAACGGGAGTTTTAAGTAATCTCCCCTCTCATTTGCCGTGTAAATATACGGTTAATATCTTTAGTGTAAATATATGGTAAATATTTTTAGCGTACACGTGTGGTTATTATCTCTGTGTAAATATATGGTTAAAACTAAAGGCTTTGCTCCCATTGATGGTACCGATTTTGGCTCTGGATAATGGACTAATTCTGTCCTCACGATTTATAGCCATAAAACAAATGGGTAAAAAGCCTGAAAGTTTCAGATTAATACCGCATTGGCCAATTTATTCAAATCACTCTTTTAATATTTAATGCTGCGGAGTGCATACGTCTTGCGGGCCTAAATTGTTTAAGTTTGTATGAATTATAACTATCACTTTGGAGAAGACTGCCCGGTGCAAAACAGCTTAAACAAAAAGTTTACACGTATGTCGAATTGCATTTTCGCACGAGGCATTATTTACATTGTAATTTTAGATATTGTCTCTAGTTTTATTTTGAGCAGCCGGTGGAGGAAGTTCTGAGTCAAGGCAATAATGAAGTCTAAACTCTCATAAACAAAGACCGAAGTAAACATAATTAACCCTTTCCCGTTCCGATACGTCTGCAAGGTGCAGGGTGGGTCCCGTTCACCGCTGAAGCTCCGAATGTGCAAGTGGTTCGTTGTTATTTAATATAAAAATGCGTAGCGCCGTTGTTTTTCAAGACACGCCCGCCGCACTCTATGATAGCTGGCGCCAAACTGTGCCACGCGCCCTCCCGCATGGCCTTGTGGGAGCCCTCGGTAGCGATAAAGTTATTTTATTTCAATTTTATTCCGATTCCGTTACGATGACGTACACATCTATCATCGGAAGAGAATTCGGGAAAAAAACGACGTCGTACGTCATCAGAATGGGAAAGGATTAAACACAGTTAATGAAACCAATTGTCTAAAATCTAATTGCAGCACTGAGATTTCGCACATAAGTAGCAAATGAAATAGGAGAATGTGGAGCCAGACGAGGAGACACGCTTTCGCTACATTTTATTCACAGCGACGTTTGATGATGTTTTCAGGAATGGGAGAAAACAAGGACATTATATGGAGGCCGTAACATTGCCAAACTGCATTCCCCGCTCCTCACCGTCACAAACATTTGAGGGGGCAGCGCCCCACTAAATCTTTCTGAACCCGTGCCCCTTATCAGACACATCTGTGAAAAAGAGCTTAATAAGCTCATCGGATTTGTCCGGTATGAATAAATATTCTGATTCCGATTCAGAATAGGGGTACCGCGGGCGGGCGGGCGATCGTAACACGTGTGTGAACCCTGCAGCGATGGCCCGCTGGTGTTTTTGCAGCGAGCACCCCCCCCTCCTCCTTTCCCCCCCCGGTCACATCTCGTGCCGCCGAGTCCCACCGAAGCACGGCCGCTTGTCCTCTGCTCCGCACCCCCCTCGCCCCGCGGTGGAGAGCCCGCCGCCGCTCCTCAGTCGTACATATCCTGAAACATCTCCTGGCCCGTCCGGATGTACGCCTCCTTCTCCTCGGCCGTCATTTGGGCCACCAGCTGCGGGTTCTGGCTCACCTCGCTGTAGGGGTACGGCCGCCCGGCCACCATCACCGTCACGGTGGTCACCTCCTCAAACTCGTCATCGTCGTCGTCATCGTCATCTTCGTAGTCCACCTGCCCGTCACGCCGCCGCTGCTGCTGCTGCTGCGAGTGCTGGGGCAAGTGCCGCTGGTGCTGATGATGCTGCTTCTGCTGGTGCCGGTGCTGCAGAGCCGCGTGCGCCGACGAGGCCTGGGGCCGCCGCTTTGCCGGCGGGGAGTCGTCGCCCGACTCGCTCGTGTCGCTCTCCGAGTCGCTGGCCCCGCCGGCGCCTCCCCCCACCCCTCCGCCCCCCCCACCGCCGCCCCCCCCGACGGTGGCGATGGCGGCGGCGGCGGCGCGGGTGTCGGCCAGCGAGGAGGAGGAGGCGGCGGCGGTGGCGCCCGTCGCTAGGCTGCTCTTCTTCTCGTGCACCAGCAGCGCCCGCATCACCTCCTCGCTGTCCAGCTTGTGGCCACCCGCACCGCCGCCGCGCTGGTCGGAGCCGTCCGGGCCCGTCTCGGAGCCCACGCCTGCGAAACGCACGCAGTGTCAAGAGCGCACGCGGTGTGCATTGTCGCACGCGTGTCACACGCATGTCACACGCATGTCGCAAGCAGTGTCAATAATCACGGTAATTATTTGTTTTCGATCGAGCGCCCTTCTTTTACACCTGGGCCATCTCAGAGCGCTGTTACACACGACAAACGACTTGCACCACATCTCATCTCAACACATTTAAAAGGGGCTCCCCCAGCGGCAGCTGTCCCTCTTGTGGCAGAAGGTGACCTAGTCGGCACCGGGCCTGCAAGCGGGTGGAAATCGCCCGCCAGTAGTGGGCAACGATTGCCTATGACTAACTCCCAATTCAGTAATTTATGGGTACTTTTATTTTTAATTCCTCAAATTTGGACAATGATCATCAATATTATTACTACGAGTCTCGCGACTCTTTTTCAGGGGGGGGGGGGCTGGATTTTTGTCGTGCAAGCGTGCCAACGCAGCGTCACACGCGGAGCATACCAACGTCGGCCTCGCGAGCCAAACGCCCCCCCCCCACTCCCTCCCTTCCCTCCCCTTGCCCCAGTCTTTTGAACAAAAAACCCCGTGTTCCCCCCCCCCCCCCCCACCTGGACTCTGTTATTTAACGCATTTGCATATTTTGCATCAACCTTTTACCATTTCTTTTTACAAAGAGAACCGCTGACAAAAGCTGACGAGAAGGGTCAAAGAGAATCGGGGTCCAGAGAAGCCAAACGGTAACCTCCCCCCCCTCCCTCTATCACCGCCTCTAACCGCGTGTGCCGTGCGTGTGCCGTGCGTGTGCCGTGCGCGTGCCGTGCGTGTGCCGTGCGTGTGCTCGCGTTTGCCCGTGCGCCCGTGCAGCCGCGCGCGTACATTCAATTAATGTGGCGGAAACGGCACGGAGAAGGGACTGCATTTTCCTTCCTTTGACATTGCAATGGCCAGATCACCTGGAATCACGCCCGCTATCGTAACATCTTGGAAGCCAAGCAGGTCGGAGCCTGGATAGCGGGAGTAGGCGGCAGCCGGTGTTGCTTTTGCGAGGCTACGTTGCCAGCAAAGGGCTGGGTAGGAAAATGTGTAGTTGTACTGTACTTCGCAGCAACTACTACACTCCCCGCCTTCACGAACCGGCACTGCGTGGGAGACCCTAGCCTTCTCGCGGCCCACATTTCCATTGTTACCTTGAACACAACGAATACGGTGGTCTGGAAATGGACGTCGTTCATTTTAATACAGATACGATGAGGAGAGATAAATGTTGAACAAAAGGCCCTTTTGAATGTAGCTGATGCTGACGATGGTTTAGCTGATGGTGAAGATGGTGGTAGTGGTGGTAGTGAGGCCGGTGATGGAAGACAAGGGCGGCGGTGGTGGTGCTGGTGGTGGTGGTGATCAAGAAACCGATCGAACGAGGTCTTTGAGTGTAACCAGCTAAAAATATAGAAGGACTCGCAAAGCCTGAAGCCCTCTTGTCGTCACTAGCAGACCTCGACATGGGAATTTAGCTCCTAAACACATTGCCATGATCGTGCGCACGAACAGAAAGAAATCAACCCACACCGACCGGCGTGGTGAAGTACAATCAAGCCAATCCCACCCCAATCCAAATGTCACGTCCACGCGACATTTAAACACACGTCAAAAAGAGCACTGCAGGCCAACTCCAGACATCCTTTATCCTCAAGAGATATTCCCGAAAAGCAGGTGACACATTAATTCGCAAAGTTTAAGAGTCCTCGCAGAAGCAGCAGATGTGTGAAATCCATTCAATCGCCGCACGGGCGCCGAGGACACACAACGGCTCCAGGAAGCACGCCGAGGTTTTACTGCTGTGCTATTTCTGGGCAGTGCGGTGGTATTCACAACGGCGCCTTTTTGGCTTGTTGTTTTAACTTATCATCTTCACAGTGAGCAGCTTCCATATGCTGCGGAATTGATAGAAGGCTCCAGTTGTATTTATTTATTTATTCCCCAACCCCCCCCGTGTCGTGATTTCGACACGGACGCTAGCAATCCCATTAGGGGTTAAAAGCTGTTTTGTTTAACAAGATAAAAATCTCATTGGGTTTTTTCATTCAACTTATTCGTCCGCTGGTGCATCCATTAAACTTGACCGCGTACGCACGCCTTACAAGGCAGCTCCATGAAGCGTGATTTATTACAGGTGGATATTTCATCCCACTGCCATGTAACCCACAGCCTTACAATGGCCTAATCTCACTCATCTGTCAGAGGACACTTATTTTCCGCTGTACAACCGAAAGGGGTCAGGAGTATTATTGTCGATTAAAGAACACCATCATTGCACCCCTCCCCCTGAGCTCCCGTTGCACTTCTTTACCATCGTACATAGCCAACCTCCTCTTGCAAATATGCTACTCGTGATCGTTGCCTCTACCGTGGTAGGGCAGTGAGCCCGAGGTGCCTCCAACCGGTCCCTCGTTTGAGGGTTTATCGCCCCGGGTTTGTTACGCGATCATGACCTGCGCTTCCCTCTTTGACGTCTGTGTTTTAGGTTCTTAAATTTGTAAAAAAAACGGCCATAATTTCTTGGCACTGCACGTTGGGCTAATCAGAATCTTGATTTATACTGGAGGAATCCGATGAGCTACAAAGCTCTTTTTCACAGATTAATAAAGAAGAGAGCCCAGATGTGCGTAGGCTACCTGCCGACTCGGGAAAAAAAACGATTTTGGAGCAGTGGGTTCAGACTCAAGAACACTCCCCCCCCCCTCTGGCGTGAATCCCAAATGCCCATTCTCCTGCAATGCGATTTTAAAAATGGCAACAACAAAAATATACACACACGGGCACTGCCGCAGACAGCTCGTATAACTGAACGGCCCCTTCTCTTGGATGCCGCCGGAATGTTTAAGCGGGAGATTTTGCAAGCCCGCTTCTCAATTATATAAAATAGAATACCCTCTCAGACACACACACACACAACAACAAAAAGCCCACAATGACGTCGTAAATGAACGCTATTAAATTATGTTTTCCATTGCAGTGACGTTGAACTGTGTATGTTAACGGACAAGTAAATAATACACTGACTGATGCGTCGATTTCAACACGAGGACATTCAGGCGTGCCACATTTTTCTTTAATTAAAATAATGTGTTGACTTAACATTCTGCCAAAGGCTGGTCACAATGAATGTCAAAGCCTACGACCATATTTACACATTAGGGGAGACTTTAAGGGGTTAATTAAGGTGCCACAGACCCGTACAGGATTTCAGTTTAATCTCTTATCTGCCGAGCTAAGCCCGATTGCCATTCCAGATACGTTTGCATTTTCTTTAATGCCACACAGGACTCCCTATACTATATTTCCCCCCCCACCCCCGCCAAACACAAACTGTCAGCAGTCAGGAATCCATTCAGGGCAAATCTAATTTCGCTCAATATTACTCAATACACTGCAGCATGTCCTTATGCAGTCTAAAATTACACATAAATCCTCGCACCAAATGCCAACGTCATAAGCAGATTTGAAATGAGTGCAACAGTGGTTTTGTCATTCATAGTTAGTATTCAATAATAGCAAAAACTATTTTTTCACTTTATTATTTAATCTATAAATTAACAGCTTCACGTGCAAATCTGTCAGTCGGTCATGGCATGTATTTGTGGAAGTATCACCATACAGAGTCAAGCGAGACCTATATATTTTTTTTACCACACAACGAAACGGGCACCTTCTATGGTACTGACAATGAGTTACGTGTGGACCCCACCACCTTTGAAATATTGCAAAGAAATCGTGACCCAGGTGGAGGATGTTGCTGCTGAATGGTACAGAGGGGGCAGGGCGGCAGAGGTCAGCGAGAGGCCTCCAAGGTGGAAGTGACAGGGCCAAAGGTCTACTTGGGCTGCGGCCAATAAATGAACGGGACATTGGTAATCTGAATAAGTGGTGTGCCCCCTGCCTGCTAAAGCGCGCTATTGCACTGACACTTTCTGACACCGTCCACATACCCGAGGTGCAAACATTGGCCACGTAGCTTGAGTAAATGATGCCGCCTATTCTGGCCGCCTGCCTGTCCGCTTAAGAACCGCGGGTACCTGCCAACTGGCGTGTCGCGGATGGCACGGTGACGACCCTGGCTGTAAGGAATAAAACGCTGCCTCCTGTCCGACATCCCCCCACCCCGCCCCCAAGTCTTCCTCGCCCGGCGCCAGCCAGAGGTCCGTCCTCACTGGCGCCGTTTGCGCCGCCTGCACCCTTGCCACAGAGGTCGCAACCGGGTACCCGATACCCGTACCCTACCCGATACCCGGCTACCCATACCCAGCCGGGTACGGGTACCTGTTTGCGACCCTGGTGCGGCCGGGTACGGGTATGGGTAGGCCGTGAGTCACTGGTGAGTCACCGTTTGTCAATCATTTCCCAACGTCTTGTCTGTTCTCACAATTCAAATTCCTAGAATCAACCCATCCGCGCCTGCAACATGGCTTCATCCCAGAGGTCGCAATCGGGTACACGATACCCGGCCGGGTACGGGTAGCCGGGTATCGGGTAGGGTACGGGTACCCGTTTGCGACCCTGGTGCGGCCGGGTACGGGTAAGGAATCAAAACCCGTTTGCGACCTCTGCCTTGCCGGCCCAGACCCCACCGGCGGTCACCTGCGTAGACTGCGGCGGCGGAGTCGTGGTAGGCGCCCTGCACGGTGCTCTCCGTCATCCACACGGGCCGCTCCTTTGCCGGGCGGCGGTCTTCGGAGGCGGCGGCGGCCGTGGCGGAGGAGGAGCCGCCGCGTCGCTCCGGGTCGCCCTGCTCCAGGCTGATGGTCACGTTCTGCGTGTAGAGGTCGTCGTACGTGGGGGCCCTCGCCGACCAGGCCTCGCGGGCCGGCACGAGGCCAGCGCCCACCGCCTGGCCGCGCAACCTGCGAGGTTTGGCGAGGAGGGCGGCAACGGTCAAGAGAGGGGAGGGGGGGCGAGCTCAGAGGGCGGAGAGCCGAGCTCGCGCCGTTGAGATTCTTATCTTCACAGAATGTATATAGCGCCTTGATCAAGGCGCTTTACAAAAATGAACAACGGTACAACGTGTGTGAATGTAATGTTGGAGATGAGTGAAATAGATGAGAGGAAGCTGTGGTTCAGCAACGGCGGTGGAAATGAAGGGGAGATGAAGGGGCTGTGGGGTGAGCTAGGGGAAAAGAAAGTGAGTTTTGAGTGGGTTCGCGAAGGTCAGCAGCACACCTGTGATCAAACCTGGTCTTGGGCCTGGTCACCAAAAAGACCAAAATGCCCATCATTTAATTTGGCTGAAATCCGGCTGTTGAGAATGGAAGATCTGTTCCAACTATCCCCGCTATGAATGTCGCTCATGTACAGAGCGGGTGGCCAAGTGTTGTTGTTTGCTATGTACGGTGCGAAATAAGTTCAACACAAAGAAACATATACGTGTGTGTGTGTGGCCTCGGTGTTACTCGAAGGCATCCCAGAGGTAGCTGTGATAATCGCTTCTGTCGGCCATTATCTAAGGGTTGCACTGCCCAGCTCCACGAGTAAAAGTGCATGCAAGTCCGTTCTCCGTATACAGCAAGTCTGCAGATCTCTACGTAAGGATAGCGGATCTAACGAGAAAGAGGCATGGAATAGAGGCAGGAGGAAAATAATCTTCCGAGGGAGGGAGGGGACCACTGGAGTCTAGGTATGTTGAACTTCTTTCCCACCATACGTAGCCAACCGTGCCCATCGGAGGTGCGGGGAAGGACAACAAAACTAAACACGAAAAAAGTGTGAGCGTCACCCACAGGTGCTTGAGAGCAGGGATGTCGCTGGGCTCGGGCTCCAGCACCTCGTGTGACAGGTTGATGTCCTCGGTCTCGCGCAGCAGGGCGTAGATGGGCTCGATCTGCTCGTTGAAGCGAGCCACCAGCGTGCGCGCGTCCTTCTTGGGCACCGCCGACTCGTCCTCCTCCACCTCCCTCCGGCAGAACGTGCACATGAACAGGCCTGCGGGAAGACGTCCACGTTTGCGGTTTGGGCGGGTGGGCACGGGCGACTAACTACATCGCCTGGTATGCAGCAGGAGTCAGGGTCGGGATCGAACTCACGACCTCCTGTATACCAGGCGAGGTAAATTTCGATTTAAAGCTTTCGTGACTGCAGGGATTCATCTTCTTGGTTCTTTCGGTAAAGTCACGTAGAAGGGAAGTAATAAAATAATAAAAATAAAACATAATAAAATAATTCTCACGACGTTTAGGCCACAACGCAAGCAGCCGTCCTCAGGTGAAGAACAGACGCTGTCTCCCCGACAGACCTGGTCTTCACCTGAGGACGGCTGCTTGCGTTGTGGCCGAAACGTCGTGAGAATTATTTTATTACGTTTTATTTTTATTATTGTAATACTTCCCTTCTACGTGACTTTACCGAAAGAACCAAGAAGACCAGGCGAGGTAGTTAACATCTCCTAGCCACCGTGATGATGATGAGAGAGACGCAAACCTCCAAATATACAGCAGGCGTCAGGGACGAAATCGAACCCACGACCTCCTGCATAGCAGGCGAGGAAGTTATCTCCTAGCCACCGTGATGATGATGATGATTAGAGAGAGAGACACTTGGTTGACCAATCATTTGTGGTCATGTGACTTCTGAAAAAGAGCTATTTAGCTCAGTGGGCCTTACCTGGTAAAATAACAAATAGTTTAAAATAGTTTTTTTTTTTATTCGGTGCACCGCTCGTGTTAATGTTGTGTTAAATGTAATAGCCATATCCACATGTCGTTGTCATCATCATCGTCGTCGTCACACAACAAGAACCAGATCGCTGGATCCTACGCAAGAACCTCCGGGAGTTGACCTGCCTCAAAAACATTGGCCCCCGTTAAATCAAATCTGCACGCTGCGCAGCAGATGGGCCCACAACATTAACAAGTCGGAATTCCACGAGAGAGATTGGCGGGTACCACTCAACAGCCCATCGACCACATTGTGTTGGACCGCTGTGAACTCTGAACATTTAATTGATTCATTATAGAGCAATCCAGCCATAAACAACAAGACAGGCCTGATCAAATACAATGATCCCCCCCCCCCCCATACAGCGTTGAACAGACTGTTGGGGCAAGTACTGTTAGCATGTAGCACCAATGAAGCGCCAGCATGGCATATGAGGGGGGAGAGTTGCCAACACCATGCCCGGCCGCCTTTGTCTCCCCACTGCTAATGTTTACACAGCAGCTGGACATCATTTCAGGCTCAGTCGACCTAGGTGAGTGCCCAGGATCAGTTGAAATATTCGCCACCGTTCTTGGTCGTGAGCGGGCATCGAACTCGGGTCGCCTCGGTTTCACAGTGCAGTGCGCTCACCGCCGCACCGCCGCTCCACGCCGGCTGTTAAAGCAGTAACGTACGATTTGTGAAGCTACCAATTAACAGCCATGCTTCCAACACTGGTGGCAGCTCACCATTACATATTTAAAGCTGGGCCACACGTACAGGCCTAAGACCCACACACGCGCGCAGGGGGAGGTCAGGCCACCGCCACGTCCCGACCTATTTGAGACGGACCTGCCGGGGGGGTAATTGGCGTCGAGTTTCAAGGGGCGGGCAAAGAGGATCTTTGGCAACACGCCGGTCGCCGCCACCTTTTGACGCCGGCCGTAGCCGCGGCGGTAATGCGACGCAAACCCGCAGCGATGGCCTGCGGACTCCAAGCGCCGGCCACGCAGACGGACCGCAATCTCTACTCGAGGATGCGTAACCAAGGGGTGGGTGGGGCTAGGGGGGCGGGGAGCTTTACAGACGCGACGTGCCCACGGCGCGGGAACGGACATTGTCGCTTCGTCACGTTTCAATTAGCGGCGGTGGCACAGGAGGGCATTCACGCGGCGGAGCGAGAGGCGATGCGCAAATCATCGATCGCGCCCGCCGCCGGGACGGACCGAGCGGCGGGCGGAGCAGACAAATCCGCTAAATCCCACGGTCGGCCAGGGCCAGGCTTCAAGGGCCATGTCCGATTCATAAGCCACGGCACAGCCGGCGCTCGCGAGATGGGGCGGGGGTGGGTTTTTTTTTGGTAACGATGGAAAAATGGGAATGATTGATGGCTGGCGGTGATGATAATGATGGCGATGATAATGCTGACTGTGCAGCCGGTAGGTTTGAGTACGTACACAATGCGAGTCGTTCCCATTAAGAGGAGCGCCAGACCATTTTGTGAAACGGTAAGTTACTCGACTACTACGATTAAATGTTGATTTGTAATGAGTTTTCTCCGACTTGTTATTGCAAACCCAGTCCATGTCATATATCTGCATCTGTCTCTCAGTGACTGTGCTCTTCTGACTCATATCTCTGCGTTTCCGTCTCTGATTACATATCCCTGTATCCATCCCTGTGTCTTTGTCTCTCGGTGTAGCTCTGTTTCTGTCTCCATGCATCGATGCATCTCCCTCTGTATCTGCATTTGTCATCCATATCAAATCTCCGCTTCTCTACGCATTGACAAAATATCATAAAAAGTTATGATTCGGCTTCAAAATTCTCCTGTGCAGGATCAATAGATGCTGTATTTGGTAATCGGCGGGATAGTCACATTTTTCGCGGGATAATGTTAACGTCGTAAACGTTGCGTTGTATGTAATTTACAAATCCGCCAGCTGTAGTTGTGTTTGGTTAAACGGAAGTTTAGTGATGTGGGACTTTAAGAGTTGCGTTGAAAGAAGCTGCAGTAGGCCGTCCAGGACCCAAACCAAATCCGGCAAGGACACGAAAACAATCCTTGAAGAAGGAAATTACATTTTGTGGTCTCCCTGCTCAATCGAGCACGGGACGGGCACTAACCAATTCCTTAAACGACCGAAGGCCAATCCCAGAAGTTCCACACAACAGAGGGTGTGGGTGACTCCAAAGCCACTGTTTGCCGTGGTGCAATGGGGTTACTCAACTTAACCCCCGCGTGTAGCGTTGAACCCTTATCGCCCGCAACCAATCTCGTCAGATCTCAGAAGCTAAGCAGGCCTGAGACTGGATGAATGCTTGGAAGGGTGATGCGTAAAGCAGTTTGTGACGGGGGGGGGGGGGCTGCTGTGGTGCTACGTGGTGGCCAGCAAACGGCAGCGCACTGCACTACTTCTAGCGCACCGCACTACTGCTACCACACACAAGGCTACGCCCTCCGCCTTCGCACACCTGCACTGACCCGCCACGGGGAAGTATGGCCGGGCAACCCGCACGAAACGCTCGGCACGGGGAGGGGCCCTCGTTCAGTGGTTGATTGACGAGAAGGGGGGCGCGTGCACGTCCCATTTCGCACCTACGATTAGCACGGTTGACAACGCAAGGTGCCAAAGAAGTTCAAAATACATACGTACATGTGAAGGGATGGTGGGCTTAAGTCGACCTTTGACTGGAATCAAAACGGGGTGGTGGTGGTGGTGGGCAGGGAGGAGCAGGGTAGCGGTTAAGGGAACCAAATTGAAAATGCCGGTGCCGAGTAGCGACCGGGAGACGCAGCGCTGGCGTTGTGGTGGAGTGATCTGCCGTGCAGCGCCAATAGTTCCCGATCTTCCCCGAGCAGTAACGCTGGGTGATAAATCACAGCAACCGCCGCCAGGAGAGGTTTAAGCGCCAATTCGGCGTCAATCCTTCAAAAGCCGCTCACTCGTATCGCCGAGACCTTTAAAACAATAATAAATAATACAAATCGATAGGTGCGGTGTTACGGGCTTGTCGTGCTCATTCTATCACTCTATTTTTTCTCTCTCCTTCTGCGAAACAAAAGGGGTTCCCGCACGCGGAGAGCGAGACGGTCCTGCCGCTACGGCATTCTACGTTACTCGGCCACAACCGTGAAAAGGGCAATTCGGGCATTGACGCACGGCGAAACAGCATATCCACGGGGCACGATCGCATGCCTTGTGTAAGACATTTTGCCACTGCAAGGTAAGGCGATGACAAAAAGGTGTTGCTCATCGTAAATGTTACTGCTATCACGAGATCGCCCGTGACCAAATCGCCCAGAATGCGCCAGAATGTCGCCAGACTTAAGGGGCTCAAGCCGGGGCTGAGCCTGGATAGTTGCCTGGATGGGTGACCGACATTCGCAGAAAACGGGTTGTCATAACAACTGGAGGTCACAAGAGCTTCCGTTCAATATTAACCTTCCCTTTTAGGTAACGTGTGGACTAAGATTAAAAGGACACACACGTATATATAACCCTCAAACGAACACCTCTCTCCCTGGATATCAAAGCGAACTCGTGCGTAACTATTCGTCATCATCATCACCCAGACCACTGCTTAATATCTAATTCAAAACTCAATGAAGTTTGCCAAATTAAAAGAAATCACACCGAAAAATGACTCAAGCATCGTCCCCTACTGGCGAATTAGGCTCCTCCTGGTCTCGTGATGTCTCACCTGGTTAAGCACAACAAACTCAACACTTCACAATAAACGTTTTTGGGTTAGATCGCGTTCTTTATAAATGTGTCAGTAACCCTCCAGCACCTGACACGGCCAATCAGTAAAAAAGTGTCCCGTTGACAAAAGACAAATAGTTCACTGCTTTAGCCCACCGGTGTGTTGAAGAGTGAATCCACAACATTTACAATGTTTGAGTACGACGTTTCGCTGGTAATTACATCCAGCATCATCGGGCAATTTGCCAGAATGATGAAGCCCTCACTTGCTCCCAGTCTTAAATAAAGCAGCAGGGTGACATCATCATTTAAATTATATTCATATTCTTGGTTCTTTCGGTAAAGTCACGTAGAAGGGAAATAATAAAATAATATAAATATAAAACAATACAAATTCTCACGACGTTTCGACTGCAACACAAGCAATCATCATCAGGTGTGAAATCCACAGGCAAGAACATTTGAAAAAAGTGGCGGTTTTTCCTAACGTCATCATTTAACTCATTCAGGTGCAGTGATTTGAGGGGGGGATTAGTAATCAGTCAATTGCTATGATTAGTAATGAGTAGTAGATTAGTAATT